AATTGAAATCAATATCACTTTAACCTTTATCATATGTTTTAATGCGATACCTACTCTCGTTTTGCCTAACTGTAAGACGATCGTAAAAAAAAATTCACAAACGCTAATAAATCATGTTCGACGAGAATCTCATATATGCGGATGATTAATGTAATAAAAAAATATATATGAAATCAAATAAACATTAAAATAGCAAGCCAAAAAAAAATCTAAAAAAAATACTTAAAGAAACATCCAATTGATTATCTGACATTTTTTTTATTTTTTTTTTTCGATGAGACAAAGCTACGTCGGAACCACCGAGGCTGGGATCAAACCCCCTTTTAAGCCCAGAAGAGACAATGGCTTACTCGCTATTTCCTTGCTTCACTACTTTGGGCAAAGATTCTATGTCAAAAACGAAACTAAAGCTTACAAAATCAATATTATACCATTGAGTTATACATTAAATATTATTGTATAAGAATACGGATTGTATGGAAGCCCCCCTCCTATCACTAGTGTTGGAATCCTACCCAAATTTATGGTCATGCTGAAGATGAAGGAGGCCGGTAATGTCACCCCCTTTAAAAAAAAGAAAACTTATCTTCACTAAGCTTTTTGGGTTTCCCCTATTACTAGCCCCTGAGATTGAGAAATTACACATGAAAGAAAATCGTATAAAGATTTTAACTGAATTTTTGTTATCTGACAAAACTAGTATTCGAAAAGAAAGAAGCAAAAAAAAAAAAAGTCGCTGACTCACTTTTACGTTGCATACGAAACGTGAAAAGACTCATCAGCTGAAAGTTTAAAAAAAAGGTAACACTTCCTTATTGTGTTATAATATCGAGATTCTACACAAACTCTGACAAAGCAAAGCATACCCTTTGGGGAAACATAATGATTACCTCCGAAGCCCAAACGCAATCCTCTGTCCACGAAGTCCGTAACTCGCTTTTCAAAGTTACCTCTGTATTCTTTCTGTTGAGAAGAAAAGAGTGTGTGAAACACCTGACAAGGGACTAAACCCCGCTCCATCCAAACATGTGGTTAAAACCATGTATGACGTCTTACTCCGTATGAAGCATGCTGCACCACTGGGTTTTTCAGTTGGAGATGTTTTTTTTTCAGTTTCTAGCAATTTGACCAACCCTGTCCAGACAGTCTGCCCTAAGTCACCTCCACCCCTTCAGACAAGCTAATGCATCTATTGCTCGAGGTCCGCTATAGAACCCGCCTCCCCCGGTGCTTTTAGCCCCGTGCCCTATGCGACTAAGAAACCCTAAAGTTATGCTCGCGTCACAAACCTTGAGCGTCCTGACATCATTCTCTTTGTATCCCTCGAGGTCTTTGGATTTGGTTTTAGCCCATTTTTTATTTTTTGGTATAACAATGGTCCTGCTATAAAACCTGGTCGGTGATCCATCGTTCATCACTTAGCAACACACAAACTACGGGTTTCCCACGTGTGCCCTTACGGTAAGGTTTGGATTCCACATTACTTAGTGCGGGTACTTTCGCACTTAAGAGGGAGATCACACATGGTACAGGAGGCATCGGGACCCAAAATAAATCCCTCATTGTTGGCGACGTGTCGTGATGGGCGCGACCTCGTTGCAACAACAGATTTCCAAAAGCGACCACCCCGCTACCCGTACCCTAAAAAGTAGGCAGGTCGAAAAATGTTTTTTTCTTTTTCTTTGCGACACACAGCAGGACCCTGATAGGCCCACAACTTTTCGCCAGACTTTTCGTGAAAGCCCCTCCGATGTCCGGCATGTGGGATGAGAAAGTATTTACCGGCTCGAATGGCAAGATGCCTGCTTTCGAGGGACTGGTCCAATTTTTTGTTCAAAGTGCCTTGTGGGATACAAGCCTAAGGGTCGTATCCCACTTTTTGTTCAACATGTAGTTTTTGGTGAAAAAAAGGATCCAACGTGTGCGATTGACGTTCATGGAGTTATTTCGAACAACGGAAGAGCCCACCCCCGTCTTGTGCAACGAGAAAAATAAGGCCCCCCCTTTTTTTTTTTGGTTGTCCGCATGGTTCACACAGGTTTTCGTGCAATATCGAGGGTACACCGCGCTTTGTTCGCAACCCGTCATGGGTGCGTTTTATGCCCCTGAGAACATTTTTCGTCGTCGTTCATTATACGGTCGTTGGAAGGCTGGAAAAACAAGGGATGAAAGTTTAGGGGGTGGTGACATCTTATTTGAAACTGCTGGACTGGTAGCTGTCCGTGAGACCGCATGGGTTTTGGTCCAGGACCGCTTAGGACCGGTAACTACACGTAGGAGGCCGAGGAGGCCACAATCCTTTTTCAAAATTGAAACGGTGCGGGTCCACTTTCCTCGAATAGCATAGTTCCTCGAATAGAACACGTACACGTTGTATTCGAATACAACCTGTACCCTTTCTATTCAGATTTCGACAAGAAAAAACTTTTGTATTCCGATAAAATTACTTCTTTCTGTTGGAGGTCAGCGCCTGCCCTTGTGCTCCCCGCCACTGACATCCTGCATGCTGCAGGTCCCTCTCTCTCTCTCTCTCACTTACACACACACACACACACACACACTCAATCAGTTTATGTTTGTCAGTCTTTTTCCTGTTGTCTGTCCTCCATCCGTGTTTTTTTTCTAAGTATCTTTCTGTGCGCCTAACTGAGCACCCTTAAGTAGTGCCAAACAGTCGGTGGTTGCTCGTTTGGAGTGCCAACTGCACTCTTAGGGGGGCCGCTCGGTTCGGGATGTCTGTGTTGCCTGTCGGTGATGACGGATGGTCATCGGAGTGTCCCCCTGGCTCAACGGGTGGTGGGAACCAACAATATGCGGGGTTCTATCGTGATGTGAGTATGTCATGTGCTGCTTTGCTCCGTGTTGGATGTGTAGACTGTTTTGTCTGCGCTCTGCCGCGGTCTGGCTGCTCGTGCCGCTTGCTTTGCAAATCGTCCTCGCTGCTCAGCTGCCTTGCCGCTTCCTTCCGCGTCCCTTACTTGCTTGCGTGCCTTGTAGTCTGGTCGCCTTGCTGATGTTGCCTTGCGCTGCGCCGCACGGTTGCGAACTGCTTGTCCGCTTGCCCTATCATTCCTTGCAGTCGTCTTTGGCGATAAGCAATTGGGCTGCCTTTACTGTGTTGCCTGGTGCTCCACAGGGTTGCTGCCCGCTGCTATGTCCCGCTTGGGGACAGTCTGCCTTCAACATGGGTCAAAGGGTTCATGACCCAAACCATCAAATACAGGGATTCCGCAGATTGTTGAGGATTCAACCTCCTGATGAGTAGGTGCAATTCCGCCGAAACAATCTTGTTGTCATCAGTTTTTATTTTTTTCGGTCCTTTGACTTTCTTAGGACTTGTATCTTTTTCGGTTTGCTTGTTTCTGTTGGTGCTAGTTGTTTCTCAGTTCATTGTCTTTGCCTCGTCTTATCGTGTTTTTGTGCCCGCCCGCCTCCCCCGTGCCCACCAGCCTATGTGTTTTGTTGTTGCTTGTCATCTATGTGCCTCGTACGTCTCCTCAGTGTGCATCCAACCTTGAGTACTGCCTCTATGTCTCCATATACGGATGCATTGATGCCACCCTGTGTATGGATTGTTCTGTGCAAGAGGTGATATAACCTCGCTTCTTTGGCAATAGTGAATGCACACCCTGTTACGCTGCTCGCCGCGTTTGCGGGGCTCTATTTATCTCAACACACACACACACACACACACACACACACACACACACACACACACACTCACATACACACACACATACATTCTCCTGTCTATTGATGGGGAGCGCCACCTGCTGGAAACTGGGTCCAGCGTCCCATGAACATCGTGAATAAAGCACCAACCGGGACCCCACACACACACTCTCTTCGAGTTGTGTATAACGAACATGACAAAACATACATACAACATAATCACTACCTTACCCTTCCCGAACCACATAAACAAACGAACTACGGGCTGCGCACCCGTGCCCTCACGGTAAGTCAATGTGACATCTGCTCTGAATGTCTGCCCGCCACCTCCAAAGGTCCGAACTTGTCTAAACTGCCCACAAAAGTCCAGCATCCATTTCGTGAAAGAAGCAGCCGGAAGCCCCAAAAGCGGTTCTTTTAGCCCCAAAAGCGGTTCTTTTAGCTTCTTCCGAGTTTCGTAAGAGGGGATAGGGATAATAATACCCTAAGGGTCAGATGGCACTACCCTGGATTATTCATTTTTCACCCTCGATTGCGAAGATCAACGGTCAGAATGAACAATAGGGGCTAGGTAGTGGGATCTGGCCCTAAGTCAATTCATGCCCCTCCACCGCACGTCGCGGACGGATATGTAGGCTGAACGGCCAAAAGCAAGCCAGTACAGGTTCGCGTGCCGGCTCGTTTCAGCCTCGGTGCGAGGCTTCGTGGCGGTCTGGCGACGCCCCGAGCGCTGGTGGGGACCACGTAATAAGGGTATTGTGCTTCTCGTAGGTGTAATGGGCCTCTGATTCTGATTTCTGATCGTGCGAGCGTTTTGCGGAATTCGACCCGCCGCGCGCATTTTGCGTCCCCCGCGCGCATTTTGTTCCCCCCCCGCGCATTTTGCCCCGCTCGCGCATCTTACCCTCCCGCGCAGTTTGCTCCCCGCGCAATTTTCGCACCGTGGAATTTTTGCCCCGCGGATTCGAAGCGCCAAAAAATCATGTACCTCGGCGTGCGACGCTGAGCGAGCTGGCGGAGAAGACGTGGCCACGTGGCAGGCCTAGAAAGCGCCGGCGCCAGCGCCAGCGGCGGCTGAGGCGGGGAAGGCCTGATGAAGTAATAAGGGAACAGGAAGGGCAAAGGTGCCACGTGGCACGATTCGACGTCGGCGGAGACGAAGGATCACGGAGAGAAGAAACAAACCCCCACGTCGCAGGGCTTTGAGTCGGACGCCCGCGGTTGTGGAGGAGGGAGGGGTGGGTGGAGGGAGGGAGGGGTGTGGGTGGAGGGAGGGAGGGAAGGGGGTGGTTGCCGCTTGGCGCTCGGGACGGTCAGCAAGCGAAGACGGCGGCGGCCAAGGTCAGCGGCGGCGCCGAAGTCGGCGGCGACCTGGGGCGGATTGAGGGGAAAGGCGTGGCCACGTGGCAGGGTCGGCGGAAAGCGGCGGAGGCGGCAGCGCGCATGACAACGGCAAGCGGAGGAAGAGATAAGCACGGCATCTCGATCGACGGACCTGACACGTGGCACCTTGTCAAAGCGAATATGAATAATGACAATTCAAGACGACAGGGGGGCATGAGGTAAAAAGCTTCAGATGTCGGGACGTATTATATGTATGAATCCCACAAGAGGAATGAGAGAAGAGAGGAGGAGAAAAAGCGGAGAAAAAAAAAAAAAAGAATTTTTTTTCTTTTTTTTCTTTCTTTCAAATCATTGATCATCCTACCGACCGTCTTCCCCCTACCGTCTTTTTTCCTTTTCCACTGAATAGAGCGTACGGTCATTATCTCTGTATCTAGACTGAAACTTGCCCCAAATACGGTCAATTATTGTTGCTGTATCTATAATGAGCGTACGGTCTTCCTATGCCGGGGAAGGCACGATAGAGGGCATACTCGCACTAAGGCTTTCTCGTCGGAGCTCTGGACGTGATTCTGGTCAGATGCATCCAGTTGTTTGTGGTCGTAATTTGAGTCTGATACATTCAGGTAAGTCCTACCTTGTTCCCCCGAATACAACGTACGGTCATTATAGCTGTATTATAGCTGTATTTGAGGCAATTTTCCGTCTAGATACATATATAATGACCGTACGTTGTATTCGTGGGAACAAGGTAGTGTTGAGTATGGCTTTAGCTTTTCGTTTTTTTTTTGTTTTTTTTTGTGTTTTTTTTTTTGTTTTTTTACAAAAGAAAGAAATTTGGACCATTTCTCGATTTATGCGTGTCATCCTTGCGCAGGGGCCATGCTAATCTTCTCTGTATCGTTCCAATTTTAACGGATGTCCCGAAGGACTTAGCTTCTCGTTTTGTCTATTGAGATAGGTAAGATGATGAAGGGTAGAGTAAGAAAAACAAGGAGATGGGAGTAGAGGAGTAAATAATCACCCTCACCTGCAGTAGAGAGATCACACTCACCTGCCCACGTATGCGGACAGATTCACTCTTACGTGTCCAGGTATGTGGTCAGATTCACACTCACCTATGCGAGGTTTTCGGCCAGATTCATTACGAAAGGCAATATACGAGACATGCATGGGTTTAATGATGATAGGGTACGCCTTCCCGACGACGACGACGACGACGACGCCTTATTTCTTTTTTTTTTTTTTTTTTAAATGACGCCTTATTTCGACTGCTGCCGGTCAGTAATACCTTAGATAGACCCATGAGTCTTGGATATATACCCAAGAGTGTTTTTTTTTTTTTTTTTTTTTTTAATGTTTTTCTCCATGTCTTCGCGCTGTTTTTTTTTTTTTTTTTTTTTTTTTTTTTTTTTTTTTTTTTTTTTTTTTTTTTTTTTTTTTGTTGGGTGGTTTCTCTCATTTTCTTAGACGCTGGTCATCTTTTACTCTTCCTTCTTTCTTTCATCTTCTTCTTCCCTCTTTTCTCCCTTTCTCTCGTGCTGTCAGTTTCCAACTCCGCTCTTCGTCTCTCTCTCTCTCTCTACCTCTCTCTCCCCCCTCTTCGTCTTCTATCTCTCTTTCACTCCCTCTCCCTCCTTCTTTCTCTCTCTCCCTCCCTCTCCCTCGTTCTCTCCCTTTTTCTCTCCCTCCCTCTCTCTCCCCTCTTTTCTCTCCTTCTTTCTCTCCCCTCTTTTCTCTCCTTCTTTCTATTCCTCTCTCCCTCTTTCTTCGTCTTTCTCTCTTCTTCTCACGTTGTGATTCTGTTCGTCTTTCTCTCTCTCTTTCTCTCTCTCCCTCCCTCCCCCCCCCTCCTCCCCTTCTTTTCCTCTCCCATCTCTTTCCCTCGCCCATGCTGTCCCTCGTTCTTCCTCCTCCTCTCTCTACCTATTTCTCTCCCATCTCTTTCCCTCGCTCATGATGTCCTAACTTTTCTCTCTTAACACTCTCTCTCTCTCTCTCGCTCACATCCTTCTCTGCTGCATGCTGTTTCTCACTCCCTCTCTACAGGGTCACCCACAGACTCGGTACCGAGACCTAGATGTGACCAGATGCATACGCATATCATGAGCAGGTGTCGACAAGACTCAGTAAAACAAACTCAGCGAAAACAGATCGACATGCACCCACACTCTGTACCTAGACCTAAACGTGACCAGATGCATACGCTTATTAACTTTCTCGCTCCTCTCTACACAGTTCCCCCACGTGGATTGACAGACGTTGTGTTCTATCTCCCGCCTGTTTCTCACTTGCACCGTCCGTCGCTGCTCTCTGCCTCCCCGTCTTCCCCTCCCGCTTCTCTCTCTCTCTCTCTCTCTCTCTCTCTCTCTCTCTCTCTTTCTCTTTCTCTTTCTGCCTGTC